AAATGAACTGTGGCAATAGCCCACACTCATGGAATTCACTGGTCTTACCATGTTCACCGATAATCCTGAAGCGGGTGGCTTGATAAAATGATGGGCTGGCCTTCTAAAGACACAATTATGATGCCAGTCAGGTGGCAATGCATTGCAAGGCTGGGGCAATGTTCTTCAGCCATCTGTATAATCTTTAAACTAGCATCCAATATATGGTGCAGTTTCTCCAACAGCCAGGATTCATGGGTATAGAAATCAAGAGGTGGAAATGTTAGTGGCACCACTATTACCTCTAGTGACCTACTCGCAAAATTTTGCTTCCTGTCCCTGCAACCCTATGGTCTGCGGGTGTATGGGTCTTAGTTCCAAAGGGAGGAATGCTCCCACCAAGAAACACAATGCTGTTTACATGGAATTGCCAGTTCAGAATGCCAACCAGCCACTTTGGGTTCCTCATGACTCTGGATCAGCAGTCAAAGAAGACAGTTACCTTATTGGCTGGTGTGGTAGTTAAGGTTATGTGTCAAATTGGCTGGGCCTGGTTTTGAGTGGCTGCACAGCTGGATATAATTACTCCCCATGATGAGACTAGTAAGCAACTACATGATGAAATATACTGTAAGCAGATGAGTAGCTGCCTTAGGGATGTGGTCTGCTTCCAGTATATAAAGAGGAGCTTTGAGAAAGGTCTTGAGCCTTTTGGCACAACTGGATGCTACATTTGGCCAAGTCTTCATTTCAGTGGCCTGCCATGTTGTCTGCTGATTTTGAGACTGTTTCTGGACTTGAACTAGTTGCTGTCATGTTGCTCGATAATCTTCGGATTGTGCCATCTTACTTGTCCACTTTGGGTTTTTCAGCCTCAGCAGCCAGCAGCTGCCTGAGTTAAGAGATGCTTCCAGCTCTAGTGGGCCAGGAGCAAAAGGCAGGCTAAAGCTCAAAGTTGAGGGGGCTTCACCCAGCCCCTAAAGCTGGCACTGTGAACTCAGACTTCTAGCCTCCTAAACTGTAAGGGAATAAATCTGTTTGTTAAAGCCATACATTTGTGGTATTTTCCATTAAATGAATGAAACACACCGCCGTCGAGGTGGATCTGATTCATAGTGACCCTTCCTTGGGTTTCTGAGACATCACTACGGAAGTAAATTGCTCAACCTTCCTTCTGAGGAGTGGTTCATGTGTTTGACCCACCAGCCTTCTGGTTAGCAGTCAAATGCCTTAGGCACTATTCCACCAGAGCTCCCAAAGCAATACTAGACAACCAAAACAGCTGGTTTGATTGATTCTAACTACCAAGGGGAAAATAGGATTGATATTACAGAACAGAGAGAAAGAGTATTTCTGCAATACAGGAGATTTCTTAGGAGGTCTGCTAGTACTACCATGTCCTGTAATTAAAATAAATGAAAACTATAGCAACCTAATTCCAGCATGACTACTAATGACCCAGACCCCCCGGAATGATGTTTTGGGTCACCTCATCAGGCAAATAACTGCAGTAAGCCTGAGGTGCTTGCTGAGTGCAAAGGGAATACAAAATGGGTGGTGGAAGAAGGTAGTTCTAAATACTACAACCATGTGAATAGTTGCAGAAATGAGGAATGTAATTGTTTTGAGTATTTCTTTGTTGTTTTGGTACACATATATGTGTGTATATATGTATACACACTACACATGTACATATATATGTATACGTATCAAATCTTTGTTTTCTTCCTCCTCTTACTCCATTACTTATAAAACATTAAGATGTAAATGGGGTTAGTATTTTCAGTTGTACACGTTAGCTGTATTATGTTAGGTGTAAGTATATGACTTGCCAAGTGCTTTAGAAATTATATATGGTTTAAGAATATGTATATAGATGCCAAGTTGACCAGGGGTTGACTATTACAGTTTAGGTTATACGTCAACTTGGCCAGGCCATGATTCTGAGCAGTTTGGCAGATGTGTAATCATCCTCCATTTTGTGATCTGATATAAAAAGCCACTCAGTTGAAAGAGGGGGTGTGGCCTGCATCCAATATATATGGATATTCTGGCAGAGGTTGCCCTGTCTTGATCCTACACCTGACTCATCATCCTCTGACTTCTAGTTCTTGTAATGTGTGCCATCAGCCTGTTGCCTGACAATTCTGGGGTTGTCAACCCTTGCAACCATTTAAGTCAGGAAAAGCCTGGCACCTGATCCACACATATGGGACTTGCCAGCCTCCACATGAGCTATTTCCTTGAAATAAATCTCTCTGTACATACACTTCACTGTTTTTCTCCTCTAGGGAACCCAGTCTAAGACACCTCTTCTAATCTAATGTTCATTGTGCCAGCAACTAAAAATATTGTTTAGTCCAGTTGATTTAGTAACAAGATTTCTCTGTGAAGTAAGCAGTGGGTAAATAACCATTCTATAATATACTTCTTTCTTATTGAACTCATGATGATAATGCTTGAGCAGCACTTTATGTAACAGTGGAATTATCCACACTATAGCCTGAAGAATATTTAATACAAATTGAATTCTGGTGGTGGAATGCCTAAGGCATTTGATTGTTAACCAGAAAACTGGCAGTTCAAACCCATCAGCCACTCAATGGAAGGAAGACTAGGCAGTCTACTTCCGTAAAGATTTACTGCCTCAGAAACCCAAAGGGGTCACTATGAGTTGGAATCCACTCAATGGCAGTGAGTTTGGTTTTGGTTTTAAGTGAAGATAAAAGACTACAGTGTTCAGTATGGATTACGCCTCAACATAAAGAAAACTAAAATCCTTACAACTGGACCAATAAGCAACATCCTGATAAATGGAGAAAAGATTGACATCACCAAAGATTTTCTTTTACTTGGATTCACAACCAACATCCATGGAAGCTGCAATCAATAAAGTAGAAGTCATATTGCAATGGGCAAATCAGCTGCAAAAGACCTCTTTAAAGAGTTGAAGAGCAAAGATGTCACTTTGAAGACTAAGGTGTGTCTGCCTAACCCAAGCCATGGTCTTTTCAATCACCTCATATGCATGTGAAAGCTAGGCAATGAATAAGGAAGACCAAAGAATTGGTGCATTTGAATTGTGGTGTTGAAAATACTGTGGACTGTTAGAAGAACCTATAAATCTGTGCTGAAAGTAGTGCAGCCAGAATGAACCTTAGAAGCAAGAATGGTGAGACTTCTCTCATCCTTTGATCATGTTATCAGGAGGGACCAGTCCCTGGAGAAAGATATCATGCTTGGTAAAGTAGAGGGTCAGCCAGAAAGGGGAAGACCTTCAACAAAGTGGATTTACAAAGTGGCTACAATGATGGGCTCAAGCATAGCAAGGACTGTGAGGATGGCACAGGACCAAGCAGTGTTTTGTTCTGTTGTACATAAGGTCGTTGTCAGTTGGAGCTGACTCGAAGGCACCTAACAATAACAATGGCTTCTCAAATACTCTTAGGATAAAATAAATGATCTTTAAAGTGATACACAGGATCAAACTTACATTACACTTTAGTCTCATTTTTAATTTTACAACCTTTGATAAGTGTTCTTTGACTTTCCAAGGCTATGTTAGGTTTCCTTGAATGTCTCTTCTGTGGCACTTAATTGTTTTCTTTTTTCCCCATTAACACTCTTGGGGAACCAGAACTTTCTGAATTTCTAGTACAACGTCAGGCAATTAGGAATTTAGTATAATATTTGATAAATGACTGAATGAAGCACTACATTTGTATGAAGTGGTTTAAAAACAGAAACATTGAAAGGTTTTCCCCCAAGTGAAAAAGTCGTGGCTTTTAATAAGGGGATACCTTTAGTAATAATGATGTAGAGTAAAGGTCAAAGGTATAATTTTTTCTACATTCTAAAATTCTGTATGTTGTGAGGTATATAAAAACAGAACTCTTAACTTTTTTTTTTTCTTCAGGCCCACCCATGGCAGGCACTTGAAGGCAAGGTAAACATTTAGAAGAAACAAACAAACAAAAAAAACAACTGCCGTCCAGTTGATTTTGACTCATAGTGACCCCTCCTTAGGTTTCTGAGGCAGTATCACTATGGAAGTAAATTGCCCAACCTTCCTTCCCAGGAGTGGCTGGTGGGTTTGAACTGCCAGCCTTCTGGTTAGCAGTCAAGTGCCTTAGGCACTATGCCACCAGAGCTCCCCAAAACATTTAGAGTCCCTCCTATATACTCTGGTAGCATAGTGGCTAAGGCATTGACTGCTAACCAGAAGGCTGGCAGTTCAAACCCATTAACCACTCCTCGGAAGAAATATGGGGCAATCTATTTCCCTAATGACTGCCTCGGAAACCCAAGGAGGAGTCACTGTGAGTCGGTTCAGACTCGACAGCACATAACTATATTCCAGACACTATTCAGTGTTTTTAATAGTGCTCACTGAAGGGAACGAAAAATTTTTATTTGCTCTTGCAGCAAGGGAAGTAAAAGTAAAACTGAGGTTCTTTTTATTGCACTGTCCTAGTAAGAAGGAAAGGATTATCTTCTGCCCTTTCATTAACATCGCTCAATTCCGTAAGTATCAACGATGATTCAATTCCCCGTCAGAGTTACTATGTTTGACTAATATAAATCTAAATGATTCCCATGTCAATGCAGCTGGTCCAAGAATTTCTCACAGTAATGGGAACACACAATGGGAAGGGTTTGATCAGTGACTTGAACAGGAAGACCTCTCTTCCTCGTACAGTGTCATCTGTGTCAAGGACCAACATAATATAAAGAATAAAAGAGCATATAACTAAGGTATGCTCTTGCTACTTTTACTCCAGGGAGAATCACCGTACAGTACTTGGATTTCTTTCAGAAAGTGGGTATACCATCCCAGAAGGGAGAGAAAAATTTTACAAATGGCAAAATACACATACAAAGGGGGACGCATCATGCTTCCCTGATACTAGCTCGGAAGTGAGGTTATCGGTACAAAGGGAGACCCTCCAGTTCTTTTCACAAAAGTAATACCCAGACTATAGAGCTCTCGTCTCCGTCCTCCGACTCCCTACCCAGGTTACCTGTGGAAGCTGATGTTAATGTGCTTGTTGTAGGTAGCAGCACAGCCCGCCGCGGCGCAATTAGTCGGCATTTCCCTTTCCCCCTCATTCGGCGTTGTCTTTAAGTCTGTTCCGCGGCGATGGCGGCTATGCTCCCTCAGAGAGGCTGGACAAGTGAGGCAGAATAAGGGTCTTCAAAGCTGAGTCGTGGGAACAAGGTGGGAAAAGGGGTGTGTATGGGGTGCGAAGGAAGCCCAACCTTCCCTTTCTCTTTATTAAGATGGCGGGTTTGAGCCAGCAGTGTCGACCACCCTGGAGCTTCAGCTGCCTTCGTTTGCCTTCACCAATATGGCGGCCAAAACCCGCCCCCTCCCGCCCAGTCTGAAGACTACGGCATCTCTTTGGCAGCAATACTCGGAGCAATGAAAAGGAATAGATGCTTCGCCCTCCGACTACCATGAAGCCCCTCAATGCTTGCAACTAGCAACAGGCCCGCCCACCCAGGCACTCACTTAGCCGTTCCAATCTCGAATTTAGCTACGTGAAGACAAGAGGACAAAAACACTGCAACTACCCATGAGCATCGCGTAGTCCTGTTATTATCGCGTGAGCTCGGAGTCTTGTTTCCTGTGTGTCGCAGGAAGTGACGTCGCGTGCACAGCCACTTCCAGAGCCCCTTTCTCGTCAGGCGGAAGAGCCCGGATCGCGAAGAAGCAAGGGGGCGCTAGGGAAGGGATCTGGGTTGCGACGGTCCGGCGAGAAAGATCTGAGCAGGGAAGTTGGAGAGCGGAGTCCGCTAGGTGTCCGAGTAGGGTAAGGCCGCACCGACCTGACCCGTTAGGAAATAAAAGACGTGAGGAGAAGGCAATTGTCGGGCGGATCCCCGGACGGAGGGCTAAGGTTGTGTGGAAGGCACTGCTCTCCGGATGGCGACCGCAGATACTCCGGCCCCGGCCTCCAGCGGCCTCTCGCCCAAGGAAGAGGGGGAGCTAGAAGATGGGGAGATTAGCGACGACGATAATAACAGCCGGAGCCGGAGCAGTAGCAGCAGCAGCAGTGGCGGTGGGCTGTTACCGTATCCGCGGCGGAGGCCTCCTCACCCGACCCGGGGCGGTGGATCCGGCGGAGGCGGTGGCTCCTCCTCATCGTCGTCCTCTTCTCAACAGCAGCTGAGGAATTTCTCACGCTCGCGGCACGCGTCTGAGCGAGGCCACCTCAGGGGACACAGCAGCTACCGACCCAAAGAGCCGTTCCGGTCTCACCCACCCTCGGTGCGAATGCCTTCAAACTCACTGTCCGAAAGCAGTTCCCGACCGTCCTTTTGGGAGCGGAGTCACATCGCCTTGGACCGTTTCCGCTTTCGAAGCAGGCCTTACCGGGGTGGGAGTCGCTGGAGTCGGGGACGAGGAGGGGGTGAGCGAGGAGGCAAGCCGGGGGGCAGACCTCCCCTGGGAGGAGGAACGGGATCTGGATTCAGCAGCAGTCAGAGCTGGCGAGAGTCCTCTCCACCTCGGAAGAGTTGTATCCTTAACGTGGCGGTCTGCCCTGGGTGTGTCACTTCCTAAAGTTCCCTTTAGCGTCATTACGAGGTTTATGAAATGTGTGTAACTTTTCTGAACCGTTTGTCACTGTGTCAATATGAAGTACTTTATAGTTTGTTGATACTCACGTGTCATACCGTAATGTTTCTTAAGATTGATTTATTGGGTATATTCTTGGTTTAACTTTTGCATATTATGGATTGAGGCCAAGCTAGTGGAGTCAAAGACAGTCTAAAATCACATTTATAATAAATAGTACGTCAGAAGCCAGAATAGTAGCATTTGTTTTTGCTGGTACAAGAATTTTGTGTTTTATGTGAAGATGACTTACATTGTTAGGGGATTAAAAAAATGAACACTTTTGTGAATACTGTTATATCACAGTGCACTATAACATTGAAGATTGTTAAGTTGTATTTTCTATACGCCTACTTTTATTCACCATTGCTGCCTTTCAAAGTGAAAGAACAAACAACTGAAAATCTGATGCTTTTACCAACTGGATTAATTCAGACCTGGATGATATATGTCTTTTTAGAAAGCTTCATCCCCTTAAAATCTTGTTCATTTGTTTACCTTTTGGACATTTTATATCTGAATTGTGAACCAGAGAGAGAAAGATAAATTTTTTATTTATCTTTCATTTAACATTTTTATATTAACATATTACAAACCCACCAGCCACTCCTCGGAAGGAAGGTTGGGCAATCCTACTTCCGTCGTGATACTGCCTTGGAAACCCAAGGAGGGGTCCCTATGAGTCGGGTTTGACTCGACGGCACATAATAATAACAACAACAACAATTACAAGCTGTGGGAAGTGGGTAGGGTGGGTAGAGAAGCAAAGTAGCAAAATACCTGATTTTTTGCTCCCTCTAGCCTCATCCTTAGTTATCTTTAACATTGCTGAGTTTACTCAATATTTATCTGAGGAATAAGTCATCTGAAGGTTTGCTGTTTTATGATAAGTTTGGAGAACTGTGTTTTATTCTGTGATAACCACATAAAAGTACTTCACTGAAGTGCATTACATCACTGGATGTAATGTCCATGGTTTAATGCTTTTTTTGTATTTATTGTGTATGAAATGTATATGTAATGACATCTGTAAGATACTCAAGTCATTTTTATGGAATACTTAGGGCCAGAATGGCCCTCACCAGATGTCATGATGTAAAGCAGGCAAAGAACATAATTAAGAAAGACAATAATTTTTATGGAATAGGGCGAAAATGGTCTTCCCTTGATGTCATGATGTAAATACAGCAAGCAAGGAACATACATTCAGGTAAGAAACAGCAGCTTCTGTTTCTAGTGCCATGAAAAAACTTCTACAACCAAGAGTTGGGTTAGGTATATTCCAGGATTGTTTCAGAGAAAATCATGTAGATACTTAACAGAGGAAGTTTGTTTAATAAGGTTGGAAAACCTTTGCCCACAGCATTTTTTTTTTAAGATGTATGGCTTTGTCAGTTAATTCTAATCTAAATACAGAATGGGTATTTTAGCATATATATGTGTAGTTTTTTAAAAAGATACAATGATAAAACTTGTAGTTTTTGTTGGGGAGACAAATGTAAGTACTTGATCATAGCTTAGTGTGAAAAAAAATCAAATTTTAAATAAAAGGTATTATAGGTTGGGCAGTCCTACTTCCGTAGTGATGCTGCCTCGGAAACCCAAGGAGGGGTCGCTATGAGTCGGGGCCGACTCGACGGCAAACAACAACAACAACATAGGAGTTCAAAACTTTTTTAACTTCTGTATTAGATGAGGGGGTGATGGGTGGGCTTGCTTACCGCCTGCCATTTTCCCTTTTTCTGTATGCATTTAATGTTCATTTATTCAATAAAAATTTGGGCCTTTGTCATATACGTTTACGGCTTGTTAAGCATGTATGTTTTTATTAACAAACAACCATATGATTGAAAAAGTACAGAAAAATATCCAGTCTGACTGCATGATTTTGGGCTAGTTATTTAACTTTACCAGATCTCAATTTTTAGCATTTGGGATAATAGACAAGAATGTTGGGAGAATTAGATGAACTAAATTAGTGAAACTTTAAAATTTTCAAAGGATCATGTTCATTTTTGGAACGTACTGATTTTTATAGTAACTTGTCAGAAATAAGCTCTCTTGCTTTTTTCTTTTTGCAGATGCTGTACTTAAAAATCTGCTTGTTTTGATCGCCTGCTCATTGTTTCCTGGTGAAGTATCCTAGACGTAGTGTTCTTAGTTAGAATTTGAGAAGGAAATATAGTTCCTCGGCTCTTGTATATTGTGAGCAAACTAAATTTATCATACAAAGCTTTATTACTTCAAATTCCTTTTGGCATCAATGTTGTACTTATTTCATATATCCACTATGATCGTAATGATATTTTTATTTTATAAATAAAGCATTTAAAAAAGTAATGAGTTATTCTGTGACCTATTTCCATAATCTAGAAGTGAAGTGGAAATAAATCACAGAATAACTAATTTCTTTTTTACTCAATATTTGTAAAATAAAAATCACGATCACACAGTGGAAACATGAACTAAGTACAACATTGATGTCATAAAGAATTTGAAATAATAAAGCTTTGTATGTTGTTTTCTCATGATAAAATCTATAAGGTAGAAGTGAGGTAAGCAGTGGTTAAGTGATTGGCTCTTAACTAGGTTGGCAGTTCGAACCTACTAGTCACTCTGCAGGAGAAAGGTGTCATTCTGCTTCTGTAAAAATTACAGCCTTGGAAACCCTTTGGTTCAGTTTTACTCTATCGGGTTGCTATGAGTTAAAATTTAGAAATGATGTAGCCTAAATGGGATTTTTTTTTGTTGTAAAATTTTCCTCTACAATAATTAAAGGTATGAGATAAACAATTTTGAAGAAATGGAATAAACTAGATTCTATTGAAGTTCTTAATTTCATTCTTATTCACTTACAGTTTTTCTTAATACTTTATTCTGTCTTAGCATATGTCTCTCTCGGATAACTACTCTTTGAAACTTTCGGATCATATGTGAGCTAACATAATTAGACCAATGTCTATTATCAGTGAAAAATCATTTCATTTTCAGCTGTAACTGAAAGGGCTGAATTGCAGGTTTTTTTTTTTTTTTTTTTTAAATGCCAGGTTTCAGTTAGAAATTAGAGCTTGATCAGTGTAAAATTAAACTTTTAAAGTCTTGGTTTGATCATAGCTATGCCGTGTAATTGCCTGTATAGGCAATTATTCATTTATCAAATAGTTGAATGGCTTAGTTGTGCACAACTATTGTAGGATTTTTAAAATAGTGAGATCCTTGTCTTGAAGGAAATTAGTCAGTTACAGTCATAACTCAATTGCTTTTCCTCATTTTCCTGTTCTTTAGTTTTTTTGCTTTGTGTTTTCCCTTTGCAGATGTTTGCAAGGTCTTTAGTATTTTTTTTTTGTTTATATTGTTGACCACTATCTGTAGACCCTGCCTTTAGAGAATTCTCTTGAAGAGTTAGATGTAAATGCAGATAATTACAAAATGTACCAAGAGTTGGTAAGGGGTAGAAGCAAGTAACTGGTTTCTCAGAGGAAATGAAGTTTGAATTGGGGGTTGAAGGACCAAGAAACTTTGATACAAAGCTCTGAGTAAATTGTAACAGTGAAAAGGTGAGATTGGAAAAGTAAACATTGGTCAGATTATGAAGGCATTGTATGTTATGCTAAGAATTTGGACTCTATTA